TTAGTGATTGGGGCTATAGTTTTCATATTCACATTCGTATTTCTTGTGACATGACCTTTCTTTAGGTACCACCAAATTTGACCTCTTGACCTTGGAGTGCGACCCAATTTTACCAAAAAAATTATTTTACATTGTACACTTTAATCTTGGTCATAACTTCTGAACAGTTGGTGTTGGGGATTTCATACTTCACATGTGTACTCATTGTGACAAGACCTTTCAGTGGGTATTAATATTTTTGACTTTTTTACCTTGACCAACAATTTTGACCTTTTCACCTTGACCTTTGAAGTTTGACACATTTGAGAAAATTCAACCCCTGCCATAAGTTGCCGTACGGTTGTTTCACAAATTCATCTCATTTCGAATAGCTTCAGTTCTGTATAGTAAAACCACATACATGTACAAGTATTATATCTTTTTTCATTCAAAAAGATAAAGACAGTTTGCTGATTAAATAGCACTTCAAACATGAATAATCTCACATAAAGTACTGAACAAGAAGGTTGTTGTTTCAGCGATTTATAAATATTTACTGGGTTTTACAGTATTGCCTCCGAGTTATGTTCTCTTATAATCATCACATTACTATCACATTTGTGCAAAGACCTTTAACAATTTAAAAAGATTTTTAATTGGCATTCTCTTTTTAAATCCTCTTAAATACATGTAGTGTACTCAATTTTCATTCCAGAGTGCATGTTAACAAATTTTGTTTTTTTAAACGCCGATCAGACACATATGTTTGCTTGTCCCTCTCTCAAAATTCCATGTAATATGTTACGAACTTTTGAAACAGGACGATACCTCAGCTATCCATCAATTCAGTGCTTTAAGAAATGGAAACACTCTTGAGATGACGTGGTAAATGAAAATGGAAGAAGGCAGGTGTCATTTTCGGACAACCATTAACGTTGGAGGCACGACCTTCCAGACCACGATGCCGACCCTTAAGAAGATTCCCCAAACCCGTCTGTCCCGGCTGTCCCCCTCCTCGCCAGAGTATGACCCTGAGTATGACGAGTTCTTCTTTGATCACAATCCGACCCTCTTCCAGGAAATTCTTGATCTGTACCGAACAGGCGAACTTCATATTCCCAATAATGTATGTGGTGCTGTCTTTAAAAGGGAAATGGAATATTGGGATATCCCTAAATATCTAGTTTCTGAATGTTGTATACATTCATACCACCGATATATTACCGATATGAGCACCATCACATCCATACAGGATTCTATAGCGGATGTGTTGGATTATGACTTGGATGATATTAAAAAGAGTTGTTGGATTAAATTAAAGAGGCGACTATGGATTTTTCTCGATCAACCGAAGTCCTCTAAAGCTGCACAGGTATATATCATTTGAAGGCAACGCCACTGATCCATCAAGAATAATAATTCAGTTTTTACATGAATCATAAACAAACTATTCTAATTTATATTTAAATTAATCTGGTAGTTATTGCCCTTTTCTTATGATGAATATTTTAAACTGCGATTTCCTGTAAACACACCTTTATAATAGCAAATTCTAATCAAAACTTTTGACTCGAGCCAATTCTTTTTTAAACTTCTGCTCTTGATTAACCGCAGTACGATACCAAAATTTAGACGAGGCTTTTATTAAAAGTAATTGGTCATTTAATACCAACAATTTTGAAATCGATGAAAATTCTATTGAATCGTGAAATTTATAGTGAAATGAAATATTTTGAGCTTGTACATGCATTCTAACATCTTCTAATTTTTGTTTCTGTTTCTTTGTTTTACCAAAATTAAAAAAAAAAGCATGGTGGATAAAAGCTGCATGTAGCATTACATTTCGAATGTTTAAAAAATCATCTACATAGAAGGAGTTTATGTACATAAGTTTGTAATGGTATTATACTAGTAACATGTTATTGCCTTATATAATAAAATGTACTTAAAAGCTCATGGGATGTGTCCCATGGATTTGCAAATATCGGGAAATTATCCGTACACATGTTGGTCGTAAATTGTTTGAGGCCCTCTTTGATAAGTAATTCAACAAATATTAATAAAATAATGTAAAAGTATGAAAAATTATAATTATATGGTCTGTATTTAAGGTACTCCGATCCTGAGCCAGAAAGGATAACTCTTTAATTTATAATTTAATTCATGATATGCATGATAAAAAGTTTAAAGTAAATAGAAGAAATTAAGTACCTTATATAATTATATATAAATTGCGCAATTCTTCAAAAGCCTGGATACCTATGATTTTTATCTCTAAAATGTGTTTGTTAATCAAATTTGAATTCGAAAATGCTTAGTAATTGTTTCTATTTACATTTCCTGAAAATTTATTTGAGATTTACTAATTTGCCCTATATAATATGATTAACTTTACAGATGAAGTTTGAAGAATTATCGTGGGTAAAAACACGTTACTTTAAGAATTCAGAGACATTTTTGTAAGCATTTTCAATTAGTCAATGTCTGATTTTCAGAACCTGGGGATCAGAGTACCTTAAACAATCTTTCGATTAAAACATTTAGTTCTAGTAACATGACATACAGTGTAAAGCAAGACTACTTTGGTAAATGCGTATATTAGAATGACGGATAAGAAGATTTGATTATCACATGTAAATATGGAACCAAGAAGTTAACAGTACATAAAGCTTTATAGGTACATGTAATAAGGCAAATTACCTTGTCAAATTCAAAAATCTGAGATTTAAACCATGAAAGTAATGCCATGCGTATAAACCAGATGGATTTCTGTTCTCTTTTATTTCGGAGAGAGGAGGTGTAGTTGTTACTTAACATCATGGTCAGATTTTGGACCGTAGTTTTTTCTCTGTGTTTCTCTCTTTTTGAACCATTATGCACATTATAATTACAATGAACGATCAAAATAAGATAAGTTTATTAAAATGCGATCATTATACATGCGTACGTGGTATACACTTGCTACTCTTAAGAAGCAACATTTCAATCTATATTGCATATCGAAATATTCGTTAAAGATTTGTCCGCCATATTCGACTCGACTCTCGCTATATCTGAGGGGGGGGGGGGGGGGGGGGGGTCAACATTACCTCTACATCGCTAAAAATATCAACTCATTACTGCTACATTTTCCCAAATTTTCGACCGATCATTACCACTACATTTTTTAGTCAAAAACAACTCATTACCGCTACATGTATATGGAATCATCCAGGTATGCAGGTACGGAATATGAGTTCCAATCACAAAGCTTTCATAAAGAATTCAGCACAATGTTTTACAGTTCTCATTCTAATTTTTATGAATTTTTGGCAATGCTGACAGAATTAAAATGTATGGCAGTGTCAAATAAAACGTTAGGTTGCTGCCATGTAAGCATAAACTACTTCAAATATTTGAATATAATACTTAGTCCTTGATTTGTTGTATCTCATTCTACATATTTTGAAGTCGCGTGTGTATTGTGGGATTTTGTATTTCAGGGGATACATGTCTTATGCCTGTATATGTTATACTTAACATCAATCTGTACACGCTAAAGTGGCTGGCTAACGTAATAGGAATGTACTATAGCGGTAATGTATACTTTTATATGTAGCGGTAATGTAATGTTTTTTGCAGCGGTAATGACACTGATTAGTGTAATCAGTCGTTGCTGGTGTAGACGGACGTATGATATACAGAATTCGGTAGCGACAAAAACTAACTGTGAACTTCTTGTAATGCAGAAGAGTAAGATGTTAAAAAAAACTTACAACAGTTCAGTTGCACTGATATCGAAGAGTGTAGTCTCAAAGATGGAGTATGCCTATTTAGGAGTCGTGTTCAGCTTTAAACTCCATCAAAATAAGAAAACAAATATAAAAGTAATAAAAGAAAGGTTCTTTTACAAGAAAACCCAAGTAAAATGAGAAAGTACTATAGAACTAATCAAAAAATTTTTTAAAAGGGGCTAAAATTGTTGGTAACCAAGGGGTGGACTTGTCAAAAGAAAAACACATGTGAAATATCACCAACCATTCAAAACTTATGACCAAGATTAAATATTTTTTTCAAAAGTATCTAAACTCCAATGTCAAACGGTAAGAAATGTTGGTACACAAGGGATGGCTTAGCCACAAGGAATACCTTTGTGGAATAATACAGCCCTATCTGTAATTCTAATCAAACTTTTAATTTTGACTTTTTGATCCTGACCTTTGGAGGTTAATTTGAATTTCAGAAACTTCAACCCTCTTCATAATCTACCATACGGGGGCATCAGTGATTTACAAACACATCTTGTTTTAAAGTTTGTTCAAGACGAACATATATGTAGGCTAGTGCGCTTCCAAATCACGTGACATAAACAATTTCGACTTAAATATTAACACAATAGGTCAAGGGTTGTAAGGAGTTGATCGGATCAGAACTGCTAGGCTTTCAAAGATTAAACACCTGATATTAAATCATTTAAAGAATGAGTAAATCAAAATCTCCAGTTATTTATCAATACATACTATATTTTCAAACAGTTACTCAACCAAAAACTTCAAATTTCAACTTCAAAAGTAAGAAAATATCCTCGTAAAGCTACATAATGTTTCTTTACATGAGATTTGTGTTAACGTATATATATTGGTTGTATATTGCTTTAAAACTGGAAGATCTTAACTTTAAAAATCATGAATTCTTTGCGTAAAGGATATGACTGAACCAATCCATTCCCACGGGGCTGTAGATTTTTTTCTGCTAGATTGTTTAGTCCACTGTTAGGGATGTTAGTACATGTAACATACTAATGTACAGTGTGTGTTATATGCAACTGACCTTTGTGAATGGATATTTAAATAGTGCTTAATCTTCCTTATAAGTCAACCAATGATGTTCTTAAGTCAATGATTTTTTTTCTTAAATAATAAGCTTATAAGCCTTTCAAAAAAAATCCACATACACAAAGAAGGGGTGATTGAGATAACACAGAATGACTTCCAAGATGACTTGAAAGATAGAGTAACGCTTAACGGAAAACGATTGATAAAATGGGGGAGAGAAGATGGATTTATGCGATTTTTATCAATGTTGGGGGAACTATTTTCCAGACAAGAATGTCAACTTTGAAAAAGATTCCCGACTCTCGTCTTGGAAGTCTGTCACCTGCTTCGCCCGAGTACAATGCGGAAACTGACGAATATTTCTTTGACCACAGTCCTGTTCTGTTCAGTGAAATCCTCGATCTGTACCGTACAGGCGAGCTACATATTCCCTCTAATTGCTGTGG